ACAACTATAAAACCTCAGGTATCAATACTCGTGGAAGATGGAGGTCTTCGTGTTCCCTTGTACCCGTCTGATGCGACAGAGACAGGTGCCACGTGGGTGTTTTAGTGGGTACCCGCTTCTGACTGGGACTCCCACATACCCCTGCCCCTCCCCCATCCGGGGGCAGGGGATCCATAAAGGATTTTTCCCACGTAAAAAAAAAGTTATCAATACTCGTGTGTCACCTCATCCCATAAAAACGCTCATAAATAATCCTTCCTATTAACATCCAACCGAGATATGTAGCTAAAAACCTCGTATAACTGGACAATCACACGGAATACAGTATACTTACTATTCGTCGACATACTAAACGCGTACCACTTTGTTGCATAGACAATGAATGGCTTAACCGCGATTCGTCTGTAATCTAGTTCGCATATCGCGAATCAATGTTAACGAGTGATCGGAACAATGAGTTTGAGTGACGGGGCGTGCCGGGCGGCGTCTCTGATCCCCTGCACTAAACCGCGATCGCTGAATACCTGCCACCGGTACTGAACCGGCCGTAAATCGTTTCTTATTACGGACTTGCGTTCGCTACCTGCCCCCATCGTCGTAGTCCGACGCTTCATCTAATCGGGTTATCGCGAACGTCCTCTATCCCAGATCTAAAACGTAGTGTCTGTTATTGCCTCTCTAGTTAAGACGCTGCGCCTCTACTCTCAATCGGAGATTGTTTAACTCTCCCAAAGAATGTTACTCAATGGCATAACGCTTCATAATATGGCTACAATGAAGAATTTTATTTTTTCGCCTTACATATATACCTAAATATACATTTGCCGACTGTAAAAATACTACAAGTGCTTCATACATTCAACGTTGCCTAACGGTGTCCGTTATTTTTCAATCGAGTTCATCTCACCATGTGGGTAGAAAGCATGAACCATTTCGAAGGAACGATCGGTTGATACCGCCAAATAAAATGTTTGTGAAACGAATTTCAAAAAAAAGTGAAAAATATCTTTCATGTGTTCGTTCGACTTTGTTTCTTGCTTGGAACACATCTCTTATGTTGTCTTCCTTGTATCGGCTTTTCACTATAGGGTCATTTTTCATTGTACACCTTATAGTTTGGGCATCCCAAAGTATAAATATGTGTTTTAAATTATCGAGCGATACTTTCTTAGTTATCTCTTATTACCCTCAACCTCCTTAGCGAATTCGTACAAGATGAACGACATCGAATAGATACATTCGGGTAGTATCTCATAGCAAAAATCATTCTTATAGCATATTTGAAGTACAAAGTTCATACCACGACTATCAGGGCTACAATTAGCACTTACAAGCTTTAAACTTATTTTGTGCCAATTTGACTTAATTTATTTAAATGTTTTAAGACTAAGCAGAAGAACGAATTTAAAGCAATTTAAATGATGAACGTGCTGAATACATCATCTTTACTCATTGTTTAATTCTTTGAAAGGTAGCAATCAAATCCAACACTAATCTATAAGAATATTAAACTTTTATCTTTAATTATTATGTTGAATGAAATTGACAATAAATACGATTTAAAGATACATGTTGATGTATTTCAAAGGCAGGGAATAATTCAAATTAAATTGCAAAGTACAAGTCGCGGGTAACGAGAACACGGTCGCGAATGGGTCATCAACCTGCTCATCTGGCTCTCAGTCACACCGACACAATCAACGAAAATTATTATCATATGTTCCGTAAGCCGATTCCGCTTCAGTGTGCGTCCCAGCCTTGTGATGACGACATGTGTCACGGTTCCAATAAAAAAAAAGTTTATTTTATCGCGACGCCGTGAATTGTGTGATCCGCGAGAGGCATACAGTGAATACTCCAATTGATTTCATATGAAAGCTTGTGTGTAACCGAGCACGTGTAATAAAAATGAAGCGTTCCAGAAAGACCGATAGGATTAACAAGTTCAAGCATAAACTGATAAAAAAGGACAAGAGAAGTAAATATGTCTCCCTTTTCCGGTTCAACGTGAAAGGCAGTCTTAAGTGTGTCTTGTATCTTGTATTAACTGATGTTTTTGCTTTCAGTCCCGAGACTATTAAAGCTTCATCTGACGAAAAACCGTTCACCAATCAAAAGTTGTTCACCAATCCAGCGTATAATAAAACTGCTTCTAGATTGAAATTTATTTGATACTAGTTAGATTGGAATTATTTGTGCAAATCCAATTGGTGTATCTTGTGTGATCCGAAGCATAACGTGGTCGCCTCGACGCCCACTTGTGGCTTCAAGGTCTCTAATCACTTAATTTGCTTTAAACGTTCACGAGCAATGTTACACAATTTCTCAGAACGACATTTCTAGTATAATTGATAACATCCATTAAAGCCACTCGCGCCTATGTGGGTAGTGTAATATGTGTTTGAATGTACTGCATTTGACATTTTTATCAGTATACTTTTATTGCGAAATACGTTCGAAATGAAAATTCATCGATTCCATCATCGATTACCAGTTTTGCTGGTAGGTTTCTAGCAAAAAATGTTCGCTCTTGTTAATCTTTATATCTTCATATAATTCTTCTGTACGTGTGTATGTTACTGAATTGCTCCAAAACGGCTTGATCGATTTTAATGAAGTTTTGTGTGTCTTCAGGTCAATTCGAGAATGGTTTAGATTCAGGTTATATATATTTATTTATCACAAAAAGAACATTACATAGTTCACTTAAAACGTGATAAACATATAGAAGTTTAAAAAAAGTATCTGGTTTGGCAAGCTGTAGACGAAAACTGCAATGTTTCCGAACCATTTATCTGTACACGGTCTATGAATGCACAAATTTATCTTCGAGAGTATTATGAAGCGATTAATATCGTTTATAGACAAGTATTATCAGATGGAAGACGTTGTATTCTGGCCGGATATGACTTCGTGTCATTACGAGTCCTGAAGTCACTCAATATTTGCAATTTATGGGCGTCGAATTCATATCGAAACAAAACAATGCTCCTAATGTTCCTCAAGCTCGAGGTATCGAAATGTTTTGGGCTCCGTGTAAAAAGGAATACAAAAAGTATTCAGAAAAATCAAAAACGTTGACATGTTTCAAGCAAAGATGGGCTAGATTGGCCAAACGGGTGGCAACAACTTCTGGAAAAGCAGTCATGAGACGCATGATAACAGTTGACATACAATTTTTCATTTAAAAAAATTTTCATTGACTTGTCTCTTTACTTCTGGGACACCCAGTATATACATTGTTAAATCCTTTATGAGGAGGAATTTCATCTCTGGGGTGACTTTCATATAACAGATATCGAAATGATCTTTGATTCTAGGTTCATTTATCATTTCATTCAATCAAATCAATCAAAAATCTTTATTCAAATAGACGCTTGCGCGTTCTTATGAATAGTCAAATTTTACATAAAAAATTATACATATAGGTTCGTCAGGTACCACATAAATAGTTTCTGTTGAGAAGAGATTGGCAAGAAACTCAACAATTGCTCTTTTTCAAAAATATCAGTTTACAATATAAAATGCCGGTGTAATAGTCGTATTTTATCTAACGTGAGTATCAACAGTATTAACTCCACACATTGGCATCGTCGAGATATTCCGCAATAGTGTAATACGCTTTAACCATAAGTTGACTTTTGATTTTACGTTTAAATGGATCAAGCGGCAGACTTAATATCGACTGTGAGATTTTATTATGCATGCGCACACCTTGCCCCATGAATGACCTATTTACTTTTTGTAGGCGAAATGTAAGTTTGTACTTATTCCTAGTGTTTAATATTTTATTTATACTTTCGAAGCCAAGTACGGACCTTTTTCCTTTTAAGATAATAATTTCTTTGTTTAAATTTAATATGGCGAGTTAAATGTAACAATTCTTACGTCATTGACTGGATGAAGTTTTTCAATTTAATTTTATACAATATCTACTAAAAAACTAATATAATAATATTTAGCGTGGAAATAAATATATTCTACAAATAACGTACAAACATAATCTGTCTAGATTTCATATTGTAAGTTTGGTTTCAACAACTAAATAAACAATGAACAATTTCTTACAGTTTTATCTCGAACCATCGGACCAAGCGTTGCATGTTTGAACAAACAGTGAAGGGCATTGGACAGTCGCGCTGATTTCTCAATTGCTATTTGCATGTACTGATTTAGCAACTGTCACAGTCTATACTGTTTCAGTTATTTGATGTTTCATCATGTCATAACGAATAAAGTACTATTAGTAGGTTTTCCTTATGACAATTCTAATTACCTAATAACATTTGCTCTGTATTCCGTTGGTTTTCGCGTCTATCTTTAGGTATGGGCATGTTTATGTTCTTGTCTCAGAATGTGAACTAACAGCGATTACCTCAAAGTTAATATCATTTGATTTAAAAAAACTGTGCATTGGTAATCAGAAATATTTCTTTTTGCCTTGGAGGCGTGAGTTTTGTCATTTTGACTGCCTATCGGAGATTGTAAGTTATTTTTCCATTAACAACTTGCACGAAAGGTAATATGTAATGAATTTTAAATATCTTACTTCATGTTCGGTGGTTCAAATATTACATTTTCATACCAGCTTTTCCTAAAATTTTACAGATCTTAATTTGTTTAGCTGCTTTAATTTTAACGTCATAATTTTGATTGATACGAGTTAAATGATCATGAACATTTAAGATAATATCAATAAAGTTTTGCGGGATATCGTCACAAATCCATCCATCAGTTTAAATACAAATACTAGTTTTTGGGAACAATAACTTGATGAAAATATGTTATGTCTTAATGACGAAGCTTGCTATAATCAAGCTACAATACTCAGATTATTTCAATGAGCTTTTTTAAAATATGATTTATTTTTTCTATTAACAAACATAAATAATCCCATTCGTCAACTAGTCGTCCATTTCGTACTCAAAGCTATAAGGAGTCTGTATCCGCCGGGATCTCACTTTTTTCATTCGCCTCAATATCAAAGGCATTGTTCACAGATGAGCACCGGACGGCGGGAGGCAGCTGGGAGGAGCCGGTGAGTGCGGTGCGCAATACCCCACTCCGGCGCTCCCAAAGGCTAAATTCCACACTGGACTCTAGGTAAGTGCCCCTCTTGTCATGCATCTCGTTTAACTATTAGTGACTGTAGAACTAGCTATTCAATGCTGAGATCACTCAATAAAGAAACACCCAGAACTTTCAATTTCGAAATGTTCCTATTTAATCACTCTGAATACTTCATTCGTTAAATTAAGAACAGTTTTTTTTTAATATACGAGGCCGCCGTCTGTTCAATTCCTCAAATCAAATTATCAAAAGGTTCTATCTACTCGGTAATAGTATTTAAATGTTTGCTTAATCCCTTTAATTTAAACCCAGTTTAATGTTCCCACTAATCATAAGCCAGTCAACCTTCGCCATAGCTTGGGGCAAAGTCCGCCGCCGATACTTACATCATTGGATCGTAATAAGAAGTACGGAGGTTGCATGCGAACCGTAAAGTAATGCAATAATGTAATATTTTGCAAAATTTACAACCAGTACTGCTATTAGCAGATTCCCCGTAAATCATTAGCCTACGACTTTCGGCTCCTACAATTAATTCTCGCAAACTGACCTAAGGATCAAGTTATTAATAATTTACGCCCGACTTAGCTCTTAGAACTATAATCAAAGCGCATTATTAGAAACTGCGACTGCATAACTAGGATTTGCGTGGGTTTCGTTCAGATTCAGAGAAAAGAAACCCAAGATTAGACTTAATTATGAATGTCGAATATCTGTATTGGGAATGTTAAACATTAACTGCACCAGTTTTTAACATTCCAATATTCTGTGATGTTTATTTGGTATTTATAATAAAACTAGCTTTCATCCGCGGCTCGCGTTGAAGCGCTTAAGTAAATATCTTTTGTTTTTAATAAAAAGAATCCTATGTCCTTTTTATACCTCTAAGAGTATGTGTACAAAGTTTCCTGATAATCGGTTAGAGTAGTTTTGATATGAAAGCGTAACAAAGAAACTTACATTCACATTTATAATATCAGCAGGGATGATTAAAAGCGTTCGATTTTCGTTGAACATTGTTATGAAACTGATTGAAAAAATGTATACCGTCATACATACGACTACGCCCTCTTCGGTGCAATATTAAAAGGAAGTGGGCGCACGTCTGTACTAAGTGAGATTGATAGTGATTCCGAAATTAGAATCAATTTCCATTTCCAATGGGGGGACCGAACGCTTGGTAAATTTGTCCAGCTTCAAAGTGATATTGTTTTTATTTAACTGTTAGTGGTAATAATTTAATTATAAAACTCTCGCCCGGTTCCTGAAACACTGATCATCGTAGAAGTCAACTAATCAGCTGTCGAATGTTATTTGAGTTGCCAAAAGGATTGTTAAACTCTTTGAATTGATCATTCTGATCATTAAGAAGATAATTCTTATCAATTAAGAGAGTTTAGAATCCTTGTGGCATCTCGAATAACATGTCAAAATCCATTTGACAGCTGATTACTTGACTTCTACGATGATCAGGGTTTCAGAAACCGGGCGTTTGCCCTTCAGATCTAAACAAAAGTTTAAAAATGTCTAAATGTCTCATTGTAATTGAATTCAGTGTGAACGGTATTATTGGTGCGTCTACTGGATGCCAATAGTTAGTTTCGTTTAAATTATCTTATTTAGAATCGATTACTTGTGCTTCCCCATCTTAATGATTCTTTTCAAATAATTTCAATGTTAATAAGTTCATAAAGATAACAATAAAAGCTTTCTTAATGAATAACCCGCATGCTTTTGAAATATAGTTTTTTAGTTGCTTAAAAATAAATCTATTAATTGGTCTACGCTGGCTTGGGATCAAAGTTGCAAGGAAGATTAGGCACGTGTTCCTGTAACTGTTAGCTTTATTACAGGAAGTGGAGGGTTATTGAAATGACTTCTTGGAAAGCACTTAAATAAAACGAGCGAGGTTTCCTAATTTTACTTGCTCTAATGTGCTTAGCGCTCATGAATAACTTTTATAACGTTAAATCAGTTTAATGTTATTGTTTTTAGATGACTACTAAAATTACACGATTTAGTTCAACATACGTACATTTCCAGTTCTATTAATAGTAGATAATATATTTCGATAATCTTCTACATTTTAAACCTATGTTGTATACGATAATCTTACATTTCACTCTATACATTTTGTATTACAAACTCTGTGTATGCTGTGCTCCTATGTGAAAATGATTGTTCATGTTCCTTCTGGTAGCCACCGGTGTGGTCCCCGCCGTGCATTTAGCGAGGCGCGGCGCACCCAATTAACACAAATTTCCTGTCCCGTCTAACTGTAGTCCCGCAGGGGACACTGCCTCCCCGTACAATGATCCTCGTATTAACACGCGCCGCTGGTTCCATTGTTTTATGTTACTCTGCTCTGTTGTTTCGTGATGATTCTACAGTTATAACATGATTTAGGGCAGCTCCTCTCTAACTTTTAAGAGAAATGAACTCAAGGAATCCCTCTAATTGTATCCCTACTTATACATCACAATCATTAACCTTACCTACTGTCTTGTAAGTATTTTTACTTGCCGCAATCTATTCGTCACAGTCAAATTGCATCAAGTCACAATTCGCAGAACTCCGATAACTTAACGGAATCCCTTGGTATCAGAGAATTAATCTACGGTATACGGCAGTTACTTTAAATTAATTTGACACTTACCAATTGAGAAAAATTACCGTTATCGCTAAGTTTGTCGAGCGACATTCTTCATTCGGTAAATTTACATGTTTATAAATAGCAGGAGTTTATTTATAAAATATTTACAAACCATTGCTCGTTCCAGACTGCTTTGTACATTCTTAAAGTAAATATTTTATGAGTTGTACGTAATTTAGACGCAATGGTAATTTCGTAATGATTATTAAATATTGACAGTAGATAGTTGAGACTGTAGCCGTAAAATGTGCAACTCAATTTATTATTTATTGTACAAACATGGATGCCGCGGCAAGCATCTTTAGTCGAACTGCCGTAACTAATTGTGACATTACGGAGATACTAAAAGAATGTCAAGGATGAGGCCACCGAGTCTACAATTTGCATGTTCGTTAGCGATAATGATAAATTATTCACCGTACTTGGACAACATAATTATTAACGCCCCTATTGTTTGTTACCTAACACTTCCTTCGTATCATTCGGTTTAAATTTAATAATAAGATAAACGGATACTTTTTATCGGTGACCAAACAAATTCACTCACATTTTATAACTGTAAATTACTCGTAACTGGACAAGAACGATCTAACAATCTACGAAATAAGTATAGAATTCCTTCTAATCGTACAGCTGTTATAAAACTAAAATGATTGTGAGGCGAACAATTTATGTATTGTCGGTAATAATTATAAAACGTTCTAGTATATAAAACGTTGATGTATAATACTTGACTTAAATGATTAGTAATGATGTTTTGTTAGATTCGTAATTACTTTAAATTATAAGCTTTTTTACAATATATTAAATAACAGTAGAAAAATTTTTTGTACTAATTATTAACTCTTGTACTGTAAAATGACACAACTTATTTTATCATCGAAACTAGCAACGAACAGAAAGTGTTCCCGCGCTGAAACAAATCCACAGCGCAATTCATTAACAATGATTGTTTTGTCATTGGTTCTCATTTTTATTTTTTCTAATTGAGGCCAAACGGCTGTTAGCTGTACCACTGATACCGTAAATGTTTGAAGTTTTGCAACGATAAAGCCAGACGATTCATTAAAATATTTACGATTAATTCGTGTATTATATGTACTGTTTATTTCTCACAGCGATCACTAAAGCTTAAGTTATGAACGGTATTTGCTACATAAAAACTTCCGCCTGCAATGTTTACTAAAATATCTTAAAAGATAAATATTCGTTTTCTTAAAGTTTTTGCACGTGTTACGGGTAAATATATTACTGTGACATAGTAGCTTCACTGTTTCCGAATTGACTGGCTCGTTCGGAAAAGTAACACCACCTCACAAAAGACCGACGTGAAGTGAAAGTGTTATACTTTTGCGTTTTGTCTTATGAGCGTGGTGGCCTGGGCCCACTTTTTTTAAAGGCTGGCAACACATCTGCAGCCTCACAGTAGGGATAGCTATTGTAGATAGGCGGAGATAATCGCCTAGCACCAGGTGTACCGCTTGCTCGTATGCCAACTGTTTATATAAGAAATACATTTTTCAATGTTACGCTTTTTGTATTGAGAAATGTATATTGTATTTATGTATTAAAATTGATTTTACTCTGTGCCAGTATTATAATTGATATTGGTCTTGCTATATTTATAAGCCATAATAACATCGGTAGAGTTCCCTCTGTATTTGCATACCAGTATCATATATATATATATATATATATATATATATATATATATATATATATATATATGTATATATATATATATACAAGCTTGAATCACTTTTCGTATGTATACATTTCTAGAATCATAGCTGCCATTTATGCCTCATTGGTAGTAATAGGCGTTCATATTAGTTCAAATAACATTTAAGAGGAGAATGTTCAGGCACTTATAGAATTAGATCAGATATAACATCATTGTGCTGTTATTGCGCAACTAAGCCCTATGAATGCCTGTGGCACAATTGCTTGCTTCGAAGCAATCTTGGTCCTACCAATCTGCATCTCGTCTTTGGGTTTCTACCAGGAAAGTAAATATTACGCATTACATTCAGCTTCAAGCTATATATAATATTGTTATTTTTCCTTTTTAAGTTTCCGTTATCATATGAAGTTTCAATCCCAATAACTACCTTAAGTAATTACGTCATCAGTTCAACATCTGAAGCTTACATACGTTATATTTTATTGTAATTTATGGAAAATTATGTTCAACTGATTAAATGTTTTTACGAGCAACGTCGCCATCTCACTGTAACTTAACCCTATTGATTATTACTACTATCCTTACCTTGATCTGTTTAATTCGCCCGCGTAGGGAAACCCTACGAAACATAGCAATTCCGATTTCCCCTTAAGCGCCTTAAACGAATAAAGACCACAATACCTTAAGTTACCAAAG